CCAATGAGAAATGATATAAAAATGAATTATATACCAAATGAAAGCTCATCGAAAACGGGATTATCGAGTATAACTGGTAATCCATAGGTTGATTATGAGCTATAGAATTATGGAAGTTTCTAGCGAGTGCATCATAATGAATGAACCTCTTTATACCTAAAACTGAAGTTTTTAATGAAATTTTAAAAATGGAGCAAAAAACTCGAAAAAAACTTAAAATTTTCTTTAATTGAAATCTACAAGTCCCCAAAGTGAAAAAATCTTTGGAACATATACTTCGAAGTGCCCTCGACAGCTGATGAAAAAAAAATGGATAGAGGAACTCTCCTTAACTTGCTAGAAGATCATTCATAATTTCATATTGCATTTTTGAAACAAGTAGATAACATTGTCATACTTGAGACGGTAGAAATAACTCAGCCGTATAGAAAACGAAATCTAATTAATATTTTAATGGCTATATAGTATTTTTCTAATTGAAGTGCACATTCTCTAGAGTCAAGGCTAAATTTGACTTCCAGTACGACTTTCTATGATCTTTTTCTCTGTTTTCTTTAAACTTCTTTTCAAAGTGTTTCTTTTTAATTTCAATACAAAATTATGAACAAGAATATTTTTCCATTAATTTTAAATAAAACGTAAAATATATGTTACAGGCAACTAAAATTCCGACAGACTTAATTAATCGAACTAAGACTTATCTTATACTTTACTGACGCCTAAGTCAATTTACAATCTGTTCAAATCAGATTAAAATTTTTGATAAAACATGGATGTCAGATAAAAGCGGAAGTTTAAGACCGAAGTTGAACTTTAGTCTCCTGGACTGTTTAAATCGTTCGATTTCAGTTAGACTTCAATCAATTTAAAAAATTTTAAAACAATTACTATTTAAGTAGTTTGGCAGTATAATTATGACTCTTTTAGTCACTAAAAATCTGTCTGAATTTTAGTTATATCTGTAACATACTTTTTTCTCTCTCTCCCAATATATATATATAGTAGACAATAAAAAAAATGGAAAAATCTCAAGATATTATTAGGATGTATATATGCGTGTGTTTAAGATATAGAGAATAAATAATAAACATGAAAAAACAAGTAATAAATTAACAAAAAAAAAATACAACTTTGATGGTGCATTATGAAAACAAGAGAGCATTACCGGATAATCTATAGGCTCTTTCTGATTTGCACTTCGAGAAGAAAAAAAAACATCAAAATTACGAAAATAAATAAAAGTTTAATAGTGTTGAGAGTGTTCACACAAAAAGAACGATAACAATAAACAACGACATTTATTTTTCTATATTTGCCCATCTTCCCGTTTTATAATCTTCCTTTACTTTCCATAGCATTAATTCCATACAAGAAAGTGCATCTTCGAGAGAATCATGACCATCGACTGTAAATAAAAAAATTGTCGTTGAAAAGTAATGTAATGTTTTGATCCTCTTTCCTTACCATCTTCTTGGATAATTTTTCTCATATATTCAGCCATTAATGTTTTTAACGCTCTCTTATATGGAAAACCTAAATGAAAAGATGATCAACGATGAGCTTTTATTAACCCTTTACATCCGGCAGCTGCTCTTGTAAAGTGAACGTGAAACAGTCGTAACTCGGTTTACACTCAAAGAAACAAAATTTAACTATTAGCAATGACTCGCTTATGATGCCAGCTTACGTTAGACAATAATCTATTTTTTGATTCAACGCATCGTCATCTTATTATAACAATTCTACGATATCCCACTAATGTCCACGACTGTGGACATCCGTGGGTAAAGGGTTAAGAAAAAGAAATTTTTAATTTACCTTTCGAATGTGGAAAAACAATTGATGTATCGATAACTGTTGAATGAACTAACTAAAGATAAAAGATAATAGTGGCTATGTCTTGTTTCTTTCGAAATTTACTCATTTACTTTCAATGCTTTGAAATCACTTTCTAATGAGTGTCCAATAAGTATTGTTTTATCATTAAATAATTTCAATAATTTATTTTGTACATCTTCTATTGTTACATTACAATCTTGTAAATGTGCTTCAGTAATTCCACTCCAACGAGTGTTATAATCAATTACTGGTCGTGATGGTTTCACTAGAGTTTCATAGACAGATTTCAGTTTATGATTAACAACACTAACACGAACTAACTCTAAACCATGACTAGTATAGCACTAAAAAAATACATAAATATTCAATAAATTACAATCACAATATTTGATGATAATTAAAAAATCATACCATTTCACAATCAAGTGCGTATATTCCATAGTTTCCATCTCCTGGTGGTTTTTGTTTTGTTAATGTTTCTACATAACCCGATTGTAGTTCATCTGAATTTCCTTCATGTACATGACCTTGACCAACGACACAACCAGTTGCTTTTATATCCTGATGACAACACGAGTAACGTTGTTCGATAGCACGATTAACTAACACATAACAAATAAAGTTTATATTGTTGATAATCGAAACAAATTATATTTTAATAGAGCTTACCTCGAGTAGATCTAACTCGTCCCCAATGATAAATACATTCTTCTCTAGTAGAATATTCTCCGTCTTTATTCAATAAAAATGTTCTTCCACAACGACTACATATTCTTGAATTAGCTAAAAAGAAACAGTAAAATCACTAGTTTTAAAATAATTTATTAAAATTTTCACTTAAAAACTTACGATCAGACAATGGAACTTTTTGATGTTTTCTAAATAATGGATTTTTTTCTTTGACAATAACTTTATCCGGATATTCAAGTGAAAATTGTGGATAACTATTTGCTAACAATTCTGCTTCGGTTGCTTTATATTCCAATAATAGAACGTATAAATCGCCATCTAAATATAAACAAGAAAACTATGTTTGTTCAAATTATGAAAAAACAGCTGAGAACACTGCTCATTGAGAGAAAAATCGTCAATTAATAGTTCATTTACAAAGTAATAAAAAAGCAAAACTTTAATGGAAAAAATCTGTTTTTATATCAATTTTCTCATAGTAATAAAAGAAGTAGAATGAATAAAAAATTCAAATTCAAAACAGTATTTAGATCTGACAGTGCACAACGAGTAAACTACTTACTTTATTACTTCACAACGTTAATATTAAACGTACTTCTTTGCTTAACCCTTTGGGGACGGGTGACGTTTTAAAACGTCATTAAAACGTCAAAAATCGGAATAAGTCGTGTTTTCCAAAACTTTCTTTTGAAGAAACGTCTCTCAAAACTAGATCATAATCAAATTT